CACTTCATGAAATGCATCGTAATTACCATCTCTACACCGTGCAGGAAAACCGCAGAATAATTGCGATGTACACTAGACCCTTTCACAGACAACCGTGTGCCCGGGTGTATCTCTAGTTGGAAGCCTGTATTATGTGTTGGGATACCTCATCTGTGATTCCGCCCCCAGGTGAGATTTAGTTTCTCAATTTAGGAAACCTATCTAATTTCTCTCTTGTCTATCCTATATGAGTTAGGTTACGTAGTTACGCAGATACGCAGGTTACCCAATCAGCTGCTCACCCGTTTTGGATTGCGAACAGTATATTGAATATAGGTGGACTAACACGTCAACCGCACAACAAGGGATTGAATTCATCTGGACCTTCATCTCATCTGTGTGCTCCACACCAGACAGTCAGCTTTACTTGGGAGAACACTGAAACCGAAATCCCCGTGCGGGGATACGGCCATTTTCATCATCTTATCCAGCGTTAAGTTGATAAGAGCGAAATTCTCTGACAATTATCGATTTGAAGTAAGCAATGGAGGATTTGATTTAATTTCAAAGGTGAATTCGTCATGTATATAACAAATGAAGCATGGACTGAAAAGCTAGGAAGCACTGGACAGCTGTTTCGACCTGGCTATATCGTGTAAATGGAAAATGAAAAACTGTCTAACCAACTGTCCCCGGGATGGCCGAGTGGGTAGCATGCTTGTGTTCTGTCCATGAGATCTAGGGTTTGATCCCCAGTTGAATCAATGGATTCGCACACTGCTGATGAGACCCAACCAGATCGAAACAGAGGTCCACTGCTTCCCAGCTTTTCAATTCATGCTTCATTTGCTATATGCACGATGAATTTACCTTTGAAATTATCAATTTCTGTGATAACAAATAACAGCCACTGTACAGGTTTCCTGCGAGAAGTGTCAGGGTAGTAAATAGTGCCCATTTTGCATACGGACGAGAGTGCAAAGGGTGGTTGAAATGTGAATCGAGTCCAGGGAAGTGGGCGGATGGATTCGAACCAGCTTTATGAACATCATCAGGAGGACAATGCTTTTCATGATGAACAATTATGTTAACAAACGTTTCACAGACATCAACATGATTGTGACAAAATTACCAACACGAACACCACTTCATTGCACTTCATCGGAAGGGGACTGAAACAGACCCAGAAGCCGCAGTGAATGATGTGACAAAGGAGTGATATGGGAAACCGGTTAAATACTTGTGCGAAATATAATAAATTATCTTTAGATCTAGATTACGTTATATTTATCACAAGGTAGAAGGTGACAGTTCGAAAAAGATACGTTTAGCGGTCTAATAGCAAAGTTTATGAACTATGCTTCGATGCTAGCTAGAATATCCCAGTTCCGGGAATCCGTAGATTGAAGTTACCTAACTGTTTATTTTTTTATAAACGTCAGTCCTCTCAACCGGTCATCTTTGTTGACTGTTGCTAATTGTTGCGGTAGTGGTAGACAGTAATCACATGTACTGTATGCGAAAAGTATCCAAATATAACAGCATGGCAAACCGATATATATTTGTCGGTAGCTCGGCGTCTTCGGCAGAGATGATGATGATGATGAAGATGATGATGATTCGGATGATGATGATGATGATGATGATAATGATGATTCGGATGATGATTTGGATGATGATGATGATGATGATGATTCGGATGATGATGACGATGATGGTTCGGATGATGATATTGATGATGTTGATGGTATTAACCCGCCGTCTAACCTGGCGTATCTAACCTATCTCAGGGTAATATTCCAAGCGGTTGGAGAACCTTGCCCTTTATCGCCTAAACATGTTTTTCCCTATCGCCTTTAGCAGCACAGCCGTGTTATTGACCTAATAATATCTGACGAATATAATGTGTTTAGAAATGTTTAATTCATTTGGATTTAATTTGTCACATATTTACTGCTCCAGCCCGAGAATGAATGCATAACAAATGAGTCATCAGACTTTGAAATTGTGATCTATCGAATAAAATGGCAAATTTCCATGGTTTTCATAGTTATGTGGTGCATAAGGTTGAAAAGTATTCGACAAAACAATACCGGCCACTCAAATTCTAATGTATAAAACTAGTTGAATACTTCTGAGAGACACTTTTTCACTCACTTAAATATTAATTATTTTACAATTCCCTATTTTTATACAAAATATATACATTCAAAATAAGCACACATACGCGTAGCTTATTACAGGCTTAGAAAAAGGCACATTCCGGAAGTGAGAGATTGCAAACTGGGCACTGGAAATCAAGCCCTCTTTCTCGGTTTCTACTTTACTGACTTGTTTGGGATGTGGTACAGGCAAGACACCAGCTGTGTGTGAGATCGAACAAAGTTGTTTATGTATTACACAGAATCGATCGATAGTGGCATTTCGTCGATTTAAGACAGAATGTGATTCTGTGAGTTTAAAAATAAAGCCAGCTCATGAATGAATGGCCTCATTCTGTAACTGTCTGGCTCGTCTATATTGTCTGCACCACCAGATCCCGGGGACTGACTTTATTTGCATGTTCAGGTCTGTTTCGGCTTCTCCGATTGAATACAAAATCAAGGTATACAACAACATGTGATCTTTTGTTGTGTCACAAATTGTGCCATTAGTGATCGAGGTCACAGCATGCGTGATCAAGCATCTGTTTACCCGACCTGGATTAGACAAGTTCGCGATCCCCCCCCACCGTTTCCCGGGAGTATTATCATTGTTTGTCTAGGCGGAATCGATAATCTCTCATAGACTGAGAAGGCTCAACAAATCAACAAATTTGACTGCGTTTGGAAGGTTAACTGGCACTTTATCATTTGTACCTGAAAATGAAAAAAAAAACGGTAAATAACCAGTGCACAACAAAACTACACAAAGTCACACTTCGTTCCGATAAGGGACTGATTACAGGGCTCATAGATTTTACAGGCAGTAATCAGATTTTGCACTACAGTGTTCTGGAGGTTTCAAGAATCTTTGCCGTGTCGTATAAATAAAAACAGTAATAGCACGTGTTGTGTATATAGCTCACACACGTCTAAGGCCAGACTGTGTACCATACTAATCACAGTACAATAATCTTTATATAAGACAAGCGTTCCATAATTTGTTTGCGGGCGTAATACTGCCAGGTTGCCCAGGCAGAAGAAAGTGAATTTTCCTGGGGAGTTCACAACCGGAGCCTTTGGCTAGCTAAAGTCTGACCCGCAAGGCAGAGAGGCGATGTGAGAAAATCGTAATTCATTGAGGGCCGATGTCCAGTTCATCGGATCATACGGCCTCTGGACGGGGTCAAATGTCTAAGGTGCCCAATACAACTCGATGCCCAATTGGGTCGGTAGCCAATGCCACAACAGAGAAGGCGAGAGTGTTTGTGGTTCTTACACCTCTTGGTTGGTTTGGACTCAGGATTTTTGGCCAGCTCCTCTAGGTGAACTGCCAGTTGTTCACCAACCAGGTTATTGTCCCTGATGTCGGCTTTTCATCCCCCTACTTCGGTGGGAAAACAACTCCGCCAGGAGAAGGCGGCGAGTACGGTTTGGTCTTGTAGGGCATTTCGCGAGGTACAAGGAAAGGCTGATCAGCCAAAACCCAAGATGCTGAGTCGCAACCAAGGTGAGGCTTTCAGAGGCACGTGAATTAAATACACTCAAATTCAGTTGCAACGGACTATCAATCAATCGATCGTATCGCAATTTAAAACTCGAAAGTTACATTTCAAAATTACATCCTATGAAGGTCAAATCGATTGATAAAAGATTTCTCCCGTGTGGATTCCTCACCGAAAGACACAATAAAAAAATTTAAAGCTCACAGTGGTGGATCGTTAGGCCCAACAATTGAGTGATTGATTGAGGCAAACAAGGCGCTTTGGTTGTTAGATTGCGTCTTGACTGTTTGTAAGATAAGATTTTCACAGATACAGTTGAATAAGAACCGTGGCGTGAAGTTGTTTTGTACAGATATACCACATCATTTTGTCTACAGGCTAATTGAAACACTTCGAATAAACGCGATGGAACTGTTTGTGATAACCAATAAAGAGGACTGAACAGCTGTTTCGTCCTGTTTGGGACTCGTCAGCAGTGCGTACTTTTTTGTCTCCCTGTCAGGACTCGAACCGCGATCAGTCGGGTCAGGACTTCAAACCCTTACCCCTGATCTACACGGCCGACACATAATCGAATGGGCTAATCCAAGCTTGATACTCTAAACTGATTGAGCCATTCGCACAAAGTGATAACCGTCGGCCGTGTAGATCAGGAGTAAGGGTTTGAAGTCCTGAGCCGACTGATAGCGGTTCGAGTCCTGACAGGGAGACAAAAAAGTATGCACTACTGACGAGTCCCACACAGGATGAAACAGCTGTCCAGTGCTCTTTGTTGATTATCACAAACATTTCCATTGCATTTAAATGCATACAAGCAGTGGGGAATTAACGATCTCCCAAGTAGTGAAACCCACACACTGAGAACCATCAAGAACATCTGAACAATCAAATGGGCTAGTCCAAGCTTGATACTCTATACTTCAAATAAACGTTTACAGGTTTCCCTATGCGGTTCACTTGGAATCTGCATAGGAACTGAAAGCTGCATCCTGTAGTATAAATTCCACGGACTGTTCTTTTGAGCAAGCAGTTACCGAATTTAGAGTGAACAAAAGTAGTTATGGGGCCAATCGGAGACAAGTTGGACTACACAGAACCTAGTTCAGTATAACAGCTATTCCACCCATTCACATAATTTGAAATAATATTTCTTTTCATTTCCATTGATAAAATGTAGGTGTGCAACCGATTTATGCGAAAAACGGCTATGAAATTACGAGCGTATATGTGAAATTGAGGCCACGGTGGTTGTCCTGTTTCTGTTTGTGTTGCTGGTTTCGGTGGCTGTTGCAGGTGGTATTGATGATGAAGGTAAAAATGAGGTTCAGAAACGAAACGCGGATTCCAAGGGTTGAGCAAACTAAGCGCCATATTTTTTCGAAGTATTCTCCACCAGCATCCATACACGCAGAGTTCCATGCGCTCAAACCATTTGATGAAACAACTCGGCCATGCCGAGGCGGGTAACTCTTCAACCAGTTGAATGAAGAACTCCATTGCAGCTGTTGGTGACTCGTATCGAATCCCTTGCATCATATTACTTTCTCTTCCTCATAGAGCTGATCGGGGGTACCCAGAGTGCACAAAACTTTCTGAGGCCGAGATTCTCATGCAGGACGGTGCGGATTGATCCCGGTGAAATCTCGATGGCTTCGCCAACTGTATCACTATCGACCACTCATCTTCCTTTACCATCGCTGGGACAGCAGCAATGTTGTTCGCTTTGGTGGCCTCTCCAGGTCCACAACACTGTGTCTCATCGTCCAGGAACCCCCTGCCATGCTTGAATCCCGCAAATCACTTGAATCTAGTGCTTCCTGAATGCGCGTTATCGTCAAAGACAGATCGCAAAGGAATAACGATCTGTTGCTGCTGCTGCTGCTGCTGCTGCTGCTGCTGCTGCTTTAAACCACATTTGTAGTCTCAGAAATTCATCGTCCAAATCCAGTGACATCGACTGGGTTCCATCCTTACAGTCCGAGTAAAGCAACCCTCTTATGACTTGTGAGCTGTGTTCTCGGCTGTGTTGATATTCGTTTTCTGTGTGAGTTGCAATCACTGAACAAATATTCACAAAATAGATTACAGTTTAGGTTTTCCTTGCCTGGTCATTCGTCTGCATCTCGTAGTTACCCGTGTGTACGGTGTATCCGGAAACTTCGTCCTCAGCCTTCGTATAGTTAGACAACAAAAGAAATTGCTTATTTTCATCTCTCAGCTTGGTGCAACAAAGAACCGATTTGGTGGAGAGCTCGGGTCTGTCCGACCAACAACTGAACGACTAGCTCTGGTGATGACGGCCGAATTAGCTCGATTGGACAACTAGACTGCGCGCTTTCCGTCCAACGCTAACACACATGTCATCCGAACGGTTTGTACGGAATTCAAATCCCAGATGGAATTGTGGATATGTAATGTTGATGGGCTCTAATAAGTGTAGAACTGGAGGCTTGGAACGAATAGATGGTGGCGAATCCCGTCATGCACAGATCAATTTGAATTACTAGTTATCATTAATGAAGCGGTCAGTTATTCATATGGTATTATCTGTGTGGCCAATTATATACAATAAGTAAAACACATTTAGCGAATTCCACCGCATCAATAGTTGTTTTTAGACAATTCTATTGACTTTTTGACTTAGTTGAAAGCATTTGGGAGTATGAACTCTGCTTTGTGGGTGGTTGTGTCATAGGTTAGTAGCTCACAAAAGAACCATCAAAGTAATTACAGATCTGGCATAAACGTAACAAGCATTCAGCAAAACCGCTGAAGAATCAATTTACGACCTCTAATGAAATGAGCTCGGTAAATTAGTTCAAAACAACATAAATCGTATAAGACCTGACAGTGAATTGTTGTTTGAATTTTCTTATTGAGCAACAGAGTGCTCCATCTCAGTAGGAGAAGAGATAGGACAGGAGAGACGGAGCAGAGTCCGTTGCAGTTTAATTCAACATGTGATTGATCATTGGGGGTCGAATGAAGCGATTGGTCAATACTATTATAGGTTTCATTGGTTGACTGTTCGATTGGGCAGCTCTAATTGGTAAGCTCAATCATTGTCCAGTCAAATTATCCTACTCTGTCGTTTGGTTCGCACAGTGTGTGATCTCCTTGTGATAAACAAATCATTATAAAATCAGTACAACAGCATTCCATTTGAACTGTATTGCTAACCCTTTGGAATGATACTACCATCTTATGTTACTCC